TGCGTGGATCATCGCCTGGGACATGGTTATTTACCTGCCCTGAAACCCCCACCCCCGCAGGGGCCGGGTTGTTCCCCTCACACACCAACAGGACTCGCTTCAGCCAAGATAAAGCTGGCTTGCTGCTATCCCTGCCGGCGAGGCTCCGTCTCGCGGCTGCTCACCTAATGGCATTAGTCTTTCTTAAATGGCTTCTTCTCGCACCTCAGTAGTGGCCTCTAACCCCGCGCTTCCCTACTTGGAAAAAAGCAGCAGCATGCATCGCTGCCCCGGCTTCACCGCCCACAAAAGATGCTCCAGACGGAGGTGGTCGAAGCTGGTGTCCCACCAGTTTGGCAGTGCCCGTGGGGGGTATTGCGGGGAACGCAGCATCTACCCCCCCATGCTGGCTGCAGCTGGAGGTGGCCCCGGGCGATAGCTATGAGTTACACCCCCTTCCAAACCTACTGCTGGCTAGCCAGGTGCTAGCCCGACCGTAGAAGTGGGGCGGCGGAAACACTGACACCAGACCGAAGCTACCAGATCTGATTACAAAGAGTCTCTAATTGTTTGCGTTCTGTATTGTGACATTGCAGAAGGAAAAGGAGAGTCCTTGGCAGCCTCTCCAAAAGACTTCTCCAGGACTGGTTTGGAAGTGAGGAAAGAAGATTTTTTTTCTCTTTTTCTTTTTCTTCTTCTTGGTGTTTGTGCTGCTGTGAGCCTGTGTTGTACCAGCATGGGTGCAGGATGCAAGTAGACGTATCACTGGGTAGGTACATGGACATATGTACATAAGGACCAGCTATTCTTATACCTCTCCCTCTTCTTACATCTGCTTTTGTCTCACCTTTCTCCACCCCATATCCCACCTACCCTCCCATGCTGAGGTACACGCGAACAAGGCCAGTTTTATTCATCCCTCTTTCTCGGCCCTGGCTAAAAACTGTCCCTCTCCACCGTCTGGTCAGCGTTGCAGCCGTCTCGCGCCAACACCTCCCCGTCCCCCTCAGGACACCCGCCCCCCTCCCCGCTCTGCTCCTCTGCCACGTGGTTGGCCTCCTCACTGGCCGCCACCACCGTGTTGTCGGTGCTGTGGGCTGGCTGGTGGTTGTCACCGCTGTGCTCCTCGGCTTCCTGCACGTCGGACTCTGCTTCCTCAGTGTCACTCCCACCACCCCCAGAAGGGTTCTTCTCTGGGGGAGCTTCCTTCTTCTTCCCTCGGTTCAGGCAGCAGTAGGTGGCCATGGCCAGGAAGAGAGCAGAGAGCACCACCTCTGAGCCCGCCAGGTAGAAGATCACCTCGTAGTTCTTGAGAGCATCAACCAAGCGGCCTGATAGTTGGAGAAGAAATGAGACCATTAGCCTCTGCCTATGCACTCCTGCATGGACAGCCCAGCCCGGGTGGGGCAGCACCTGCGTTTGGCTGAGGACCCAAGGGAAGAGCAAGAAGCCTGAAGATCTAAAAAATCACACCGTACCACCAGGGAAAGTACCGTAAGAGTGCAGGGTTGGGGTTTTCCCTTATTTGTACAAGATTAAATAATAGTGACACACTGATGTTATGGTCTCGCATCATGGGCCATCTTCTTCTTGCCAAGGTGAGACGAGCCTCTGAGGACTTGGCTTGTCCAGTCTCAGAAAAGAAACAAAACTTGAGAGGCATTGCTATTTCTGAAGTGATCATGTCAGGAAAACATTCAGAGGGGGAGAAGAAACATCTCCTTGGCAGAGAAATCCCCTTGGTTGGCCCACACCTGATGACTTCTTTGCCAAAGAGATGTTCTCATTGTATCTTCTGAATGCACCAGGGCCGGCAATAGGGGGAGAGTTCCCAGTCCCTGGTGCTGGGGAGCCTGAGCAGTCAGGATGGGACCACGGTGACCGCAGGCTTCATCCCAGTCCTTCGTGCTCCTGACTGCGCATGTGACCCCCAGTCCCTGCTGCGCCATGGTGCACGGCCTGAAACCAGCCCCGGGGCAAGCTGAGGTGCCTCCCGGAGCAGTCATGGGAGGCACGCGGCAAATTCCTCCCCAGGTGAATGTGCCCCCGTTCACCCAAGCCGGGCGGTGAGTGAGAAGCCTGCGTGCATGCGCGTGTGCGCGTGCCTGCGTGTGTCCGTGTGTGTGTGTGCGGCTTATCCTGTGCCAAACCCCCTCAGCCCCACGGAGCGGGAAGCAGCTCAGGAGGATTACGCCAAACAAAGCCACTTTGTTCAACCCCCTGCTTGCAGCCGAGCACTGTTCCCCCAATTCCGAGCCGCCGGGTCTGCCAGCACACTCAAGCTTCCCATACCAGGGGGGTCCTGCAGCAGCAAGTCCCCCCAGGAGGAAGGTGGGAACCAAGACTTGGCTCCCCCTCGCGCTGTTCCTCAGTCACCCTGCTCCGCCAGCGTCCCGTTGTGCGCACACAGCACCAAGGCACAGCTGAACTGAGGCAGGAGGGCTAAGGGCTGCCCCCCATCACCACACACTGGTGTGCCTTGCTGTTAAATCACCCTCTCCCCACCATGATCTCTCTGCAGCTGCCTCCAGGACATGTATTGCTTGACCCTCCCTGGCCTGGGACTGCTGGCTGCCCCATGGCTTGTAAGACGGGACATGAATTACTGTGAGCGTCAAGAAGGTCTTCTCTTGGCCACCAATTTTTACCTGAGACCTGTGTGAA